GGCAGCGCTGAGGGTCTGCAGATGTTTGCTCGTTCGCCGCCAAGAACGTCTGCTCGTTGTCGCGTCCGCTCGAGTTATCTTGGGCTGTACTGAAGAATCGCTGAGGAATAGTCGACAGAAAGCCCAACCTACAGGTGAGTAACCCAGGCAGCCCTGCGGGAAAGTAGCCTTCGGGAAGACAGCCCAGCACCCTGTGGGAAAGTAGCTCGGACACCCTGCGGGAAAATAGCCTCAGCCACCCTGCGGGGAAACAGCCCAGCACCCTGCGGGAAAGCAGCCTTGGCCACCCTTCGGGGAAACAGCCCTGCCCCGAGGCTCGCAAGCTCGCCCACCTGGCCGCTCGTGCCTCGCGCCTCGCGATCGTGGTTCGAACACGACCCATAAAATCGGGTCTCGTGTTCGAACCACGATGGGGCCTCTTTTTGACTTCTTTTATCGTATAGTGAACTAATGTTTTGACCGGCAGAAATTGTTCTGAAAGCACCGGAAGGCCTGCATGTATTTTTCGAAGCTTTCAGACGACATGTAAGGTCTGAAGCTCACAAGCGCCCGTCTCGATCACTGTGGCGTCGTGATCGAGACGCGAGGTGCACTTGGAGGAATGTGCAAGTGCAGCTCAGTTAGTGTGTAGGCTGAAACATCTTTTGACACTTAACTCGAGCTGGGTTCAAAGAAAACAGAAAAGCGCAACGACGAATCGAGCAGGCAAGGCATCCGTCGCTGCGAGGGATGATTAATGATTCTTTGCAGGAAGCCCGGACTTTATGGCGAGAGTCCGCTCAGCGGCATCATATACCATATCTCAAGCTCTTCAAGCATGGCTCAATGGTCTAGTCGTATGATTCCTGCTTTGGGTGTTCAGTTGATCACGTGCAGGAGGCCCCGGGTTCAAATCCCGGTTGAGCCCGCTTCCAGCATTTTTTTGAGCTGGTACTCCAGGACTCATGAAGCGACGTGCCACTTGTCCTCTCTCTTTCTTGTTTTGTATACAAAATATCCGTGATCATATCTGTACTGTATTCTAGGACATATATATTGACAGTGGCTGATGAAGAACAGGAAGTAGAATGCGGAATCATATCAAGTACATACGGCGAGCAAATGCAGCTACTGTCACCGGGTTCAGTCCGTAACTTCTCGTACAACAGGCTCAGCTTGCCACTTGGTCTCTCGGTGACACTTCCCTAGGCCAAAATGAATCAGTATGTCGTCATCAACATTGCACGGATCTCGGCACACCTATCATTTTTTCTTGAAACACAGCTCGATTTTTCTTTCTTGTAGAGACGGTAACACACGATGAACCCGCTCTCGGGCCTTCTTCGGTGTCAGCCGTCCATGATAGAGAAACCGCAATGACTTGAGAATGGAGAATCCAGTCTTCGCTATTGCTTCATTGAGGCGGCGGAAGGTCTCAGGTTTGAAATCGCCGAGGAAGTCAAACGATGCTTGTAACGAAATATCCTCGATGGGAAGAACTTCCATCTTGCACAATAGGATCAGAATATTGGCTCTCCAAATATGTTGGCTCTTGGACGTGCAGCCGACCTGCACGCGACGCAGTCCTGCCATTCTCGCCGGATCCCATTCTTTGAACAATCTACCTGTAAGACAATAGGGTCGGTGGAGTGTTTGTGAGGTTTTGTTACGGGTCACTTACGGTATCGTCTATCCGACCCGTCCCAGTCGTAACCGGCGTTGCAGCTTATCTCTATCCGAAGTGTACGCAGGGAGTCCCAGGTGAGCTTCAGGAACGACTCCAAGGTTGCATGACAGTCCCAGTCGTCCAACGCGATGGCTATGCGCAACGACTGTACTGTTTGCAATGACTGACTCGAGAGGAATCTGACTGCAGTATCGCCGATAGACATATTCGGCTGAGGCGGATCCGCGTCGACGCTGAGCTCGCGTAGACGAGGAGATTTCCCGTAGCTTGGGCGGAACGTGTCATCAGGATCTACAGATTCCACCATGACCGTATTGAACGACAGGGATGCGAGAGCAGGAAGGCATCTCACGAAAGGTGCCATGAGCTGTGGGAACAGGGTGCAATCATCCCAAACGACCTCTGTGACGGTCGTCATCATTGCGAGCGACTGCGCCAGAACTGCTTCTTCCGCTTCAGGGATCCGGTCACTGGCTCCCCAGAAGTTCAGCTCAAGGAATGTCAGCGTCTTCAGATTCTTCAAGCTTTTCATGAATCGCAGGTTGTCAGGAGACGTCCAGAGATGCCAGAAACCGTATGGCCAATAGTGGCCTGAGTCTACTGAGTCGCAAATCCTGAGCTCGTGGATCCAGAATGCTATGACCGGTGTCTCCGCAACCATATTCTTCAATGCCTCCACTCTGTCCGTCTCATCAAGCGGAATGCTGCGGAAAATGTGCGGACGAGCTACGGAGGACCACGATCGAGACACCAGTGAGGTTTGTTTCAGGGTTCGAAAGTCGTCCCAGAGATGGCTCATAACGTTATCGAGAGTTTCGGCGGGGAAGTCTATGAGCATTGGGCCGGTGTTGCCTTTGTGGCAGTAGTCGCTCCTCATGGGTATGTGTCCAAGAGGCAGTTCCGGATCCTGCTGTGTTGTTCAGGATGTAGGAGGTAGTGGTTGTGAATGAACAAGAAACGGGCGCTTACGAACCGGCGCCAGTGGGGCACTCTACTTGCCGCGCGGCGAAGGTTTGCAGTGCTTCAAGTTGTTCAAGGAAGGTGAGCTCGCAAATGCAGGACACATGCTGGAAGAAGCTCTCAGTCACAACAAACATCTTCGGTATACGAGTCCATGAGCACGAGCCGTCCCGTCCCACTCCGAAGCTCTCCATCCTCCTAGATCAGGAAAAAAATAATGGGCTCGAATAGTACGTGAGTACAAAAAGATTCCATACAGAGAGAGGAATGCTGAAACCATCCTTGAACCCGAAGTATATACAGATAGATCTGCGAGAAAGTACACTTCCCATCACCGTGTCCACGTCGTGAACGTCGCCTGCAAGCCGTTGGGATTCGCACTCGCCGGGATAACTCCTTGCGAATTTACGCTCAGTTGATGCGTGAGCCCAACCGTGGACACACTGTAGATACTGATGGTCGAGCCACTGTCGATGTTGATGATCTGGTCTTGACAGGTATCGCCAGCGAGGCAGCTTTGCGAGAAACTCTGGAAGAAACTGTACAGACCGGCACCTGTTATGCAATGATAAGTCGAGATGCAAGAGGCTGGATAGAAAGACGTACCGAATACGAAGATGTTGTGTGAGTTCTGGACGTCGAGTGCCCACGCTGAAGGCTGTCCAGCCATAGAAGGGTCGTGGAACGAGGTGTTGATAGTAAACGGCGCCGGAGCTGCGGGGGTAGGTTGGTAGTACGGCTAGTATTCGTAGGAACACCCGAAATCAGTCGTTTGTCCTCATCGTCAACCTGATCACAGCTCACCGTTTCAGTCTGGATCAGTCCTAGATAGTGATCCTGCGCGTTCACGAGGCTGTACTGATAGAGCGTATGATGTTCAGCTAAATATAAATAAAGCATCAGAAAGGTGTATCTCAGTGATAGGTCTTGTAGATGCGTACAGCCGGTACCGATGAGCCATACAGGTCCTTGGGACTCGGACAAGATGCCGCGCCCGCTGAACAACGTCAACTGTTCGGTGCCGTCCAGATCGTGATCAGCCAGCCACACCCAGGTGCCCTCGAGGTAAGCGTTCGACTGCGTTGTTAGGTGCAGTCCCAGGAATGCTGCGAAGCACGAGGTAGAATCGGAGCCGGATGGGCAGTTGGTCTGGAGGTTGGTTCCCGCAGCACCGCCCAGTCTGAACAGCGCAATATGAGCATTCTAAGCATGCAGGCAAGGTGATTACCAATGCGTACCTTATATGACTATCCCACATCCCAGCTCCACCTTGTGTAGGCGAGTTGACATTCCACTCCAAAACGATCGCACCAGGAGCTTCAAAAGAAGGACGTCAGTGTCATGGGTTAACACGACCGCTGAAGAAAAATATAGCTGACCTGGTCCTTTCGTAGCGAACAACATATCCGTGATCTCAACAATCCCAGAGGACCCCGATGCACCGACTCTGACCACAGGCACCGGGTTGTTCATGTCGGAGAACGCGGACCCGCCGCCCATGATCGTGCTCCAAGCTTCGCCAACGATCTGAGCACCGGCAGGAATCGTGATGGTGTTGGAAACGAGGTAGGTGCCTGCGTCGAAGAAGATGATCTTGCACCCAGCGAACTGTGAAATCGTGCATACGACGAGGTTAGTATTGCTTTCGCGTGGAGCTTGGCTGATGTAGCTGACCTTGTCGAAGACAGCTTGGATAGCAGCCGTGTCGTCTGAATGACCGTCTCCTTTCGCGCCTTGGCTCTTGACACTGACGAACTGGCTGACGGCATAATTTTCGTATCTGCACCGAAAAAAGCGACCATCGTAGTGATCGGCACCAAGTTGGATTAGAACGAGAGAGAGACACGCACTGTGGATGCGTCCTCCCAAAAATCCTACCCGAGCCATCCAACAAGCTCCCAGCCTTCGTCGGCGCAGCAATACTCCCCTGCACGAACCTCGCACCAGAACTCGTCCCCGAGAACACATTCCCCTGACCCCACGTATCAATCGTCGTCGTCCCACCCGCCAACACGACCTGGCCGCCGACAACACCAACAGCAGTCGGTACGTTGTTGAGACGGATGTTGTTCAAAACCAAAGATCCTTTGAGCGAGCCTGAGGAAGGCACGGAGTTCCGGATGAAGATGGGCGTGTTGGTGACGACGGCGTCGATGATGGCTTCGGCGCCGACGGTTTGTGAGGCTTGTGAGGTTCCGCCGGTGGTGAGGTCGAATCCGACTTGGCAGTTGTTGACTGACGATCGGGCTGGTCAGTCTCGCGGTATACAGAAAGTAGGGGATGCCATTCTTACTCGTGACACCTTGGAAGGTCCAGCCTAATATATCACGGTAAACATCTCCTCAAAATGCTCCGCAGCGAAATTGGACATACCCCAGTTCCAGACACCGAAAATCGCTAGAATAATGCATCGTCAGTCACAATACCATGGACTAGAAAACACCGCAGCCCACCTGTATCAGCGTTGTTCACAGTAATATTGCGCACGGTGAACCTAAGAATAGCGCACAAATTTCAGTCAACAATTTCTCGCACGCTGTTGGTAGGTACGTACTGTTGGTTCCCGACCCAGATGCCGAACTTGCCTGCAAGGAGAGTGAGGATCTTGCAATCGAGCCGCAGTACAAAGCTATAGCAACGTACCACCGTTGAAAACAAGGTCTATTATCCTGGATCAGAACACGAGAACACTCGGCCACATGGAACAAAAATTCTCACCTCCCATGAAGCCGCCGCTCCCATTCTCCATGAAAATCCCTATCAAACGACGTCATCACCTTCGCATTCCCCTTCCAAACATACACGAGAAAACCTCCACACATACCTTGATGATTATTCCCCGCAGCAGTGCTCATCTCCACCACAATATTCATCAACGACGTCGCCTGGGAGACCTGCCAATGCAGGCCCGTCGCCTGGGCCGACGCAGGCATCTGGCGGAGGTCGATGACGAAGTTGCGGACGCTCCGGAAGAAGTTGTTTTGGTTGATGAACCATTGCGAGCCGCTGCCTCCCGGGATGTACGGGTCTGCGTCTGTTGTCGTGAGCAATTACTATGTATCAGCGTTGGGTGATGAAAAGAGAGAGGAAGGTTGCATACCGATGACGGCCATGCCCACGAAGTTGGACGCGGCGAGGAGGGTGGGAGGTTTCCTCGCGTCTCCGATGATCTGGGTGTAGTAGTAGGTGTTAATCGGTGCAGTCAGCTTGTACGTTCTGGAAAACATCTTTCAGCGAGGTGCATGATAACGACAGCGTCAGCAAGCAAACCACCGACCCTT